ATTCTATATGGTCTTTGGTACCTCCGATGCTCTATGTCTGGTATCATCTATCAGTCCTGGTGAGGGGGAATTACTCAATATTGGGAGGGCGGGGGGTCACAATGTTATAGCTGGTGTGTGTGTGTGTACACACTGAGTGGCCAGATTATGATGACCCCCACATCAGTACTTGGTTGTGCCGCCTGGTGACTCCACGAGATGGTGAAAGGTGATGCGAGGAATCTGACACGGCACTGTTGCCCTTCTGTTGTCTTGTACCAGTCTTGCCCCTCCCCCGTTCTGCCCTAACATTGACTAGTCGCTGACGGCCACAATTCGCACGCTCAGACCCAGATTTTCGGCTGACAGTCCGGTCTTTAAACACTTTAACAATGAGCCGCTCCTGAACATGTAACGGATTCTGCTGTTTTGCTGATACTCGCTCCATGGCTCCGAGCGCCAACAATCATCCCGCGTTCCAAGGCTGTTACATCGCGTTGTTTCCCCGAATCTTCAGAAACAAATCACTTCTACTGTCGTGGTAACCAACCCGCTTCCCTATTTATAATGGTCTGGCCCTCTAGCAACTTCAGCGCCAAATTATAGCTAATTTGCCTACAAACGTCAGGTGGTCATAATAATCCGGCCACTCGGTGTATATAATAATCCGGCCACTCGGTGTATATAAGAATCTGGCCACTCGGTGTATATAATAATCCGGCCACTCGGTGTATATAATAATCCGGCCACTCAGTGTATATAATAATCCGGCCACTCGGTGTATATAATAATCTGGCCACTCAGTGTATATAATAATCCGGCCACTCAGTGTATATAATAACCCGGCCACTCAGTGTATATAATAATCCGGCCACTCGGTGTATATAATAATCCGGCCACTCAGTGTATATAATATTCTGGCCACTCAGTGTATATAATAATCCGGCCACTCGGTGTATATAAGAATCTGGCCACTCAGTGTATATAATAATCCGGCCACTCGGTGTATATAATAATCCGGCCACTCAGTGTATATAATATTCTGGCCACTCAGTGTATATAATAATCCGGCCACTCGGTGTATATAATAATCCGGCCACTCAGTGTATATAATAAACCGGCCACTCAGTGTATATAATAATCCGGCCACTCGGTGTATATAATAATCCGGCCACTCGGTGTATATAAGAATCTGGCCACTCAGTGTATAAACATACATACACACACACATATATACACACGCATGTACACATACACTGTATGTTGTCTAGAATATCTCTTCCTCCTGTTTCCAGGTATTTGTGTCGGAGAATCATCTCTGTAAATACAGCTCCCAGTACTGCCGCGGCTCCAGTTTCCGCAGACAATGCGTCTCTTAGATCAGTACGACGACCCGGCTGCCCCTCAGTCCCCGCCGCACAAATGGGTTTTAAATGGTGTACCGAGCGTGATAAAACTCGCTGGATTGTGACCGAACAAAAGAGAATTCATCAGAGGAGCCGGGCGGGGGCAACGCTCTCCGCTAAGTGACAATTTCCACCGTGACACTGTTCTTGTACACTAAATTTACCAAACAACGCATCCCCATGTCCTCTCCGCACAGAACCATTCAACTGAGAAGAGAGAAACGCGGCGGGTACAAGAGCCGTCACATCCACGCCGTCACCTGCGACCCCGATACGCAGAATTCAGCCGAAAAAAATAAAAAGGCCGCGGCGGGCTGGTACTGACTGCGCTACTGTGCAGAACATCCATTGGAAGCTGCCGTCAATGAATGGATCCCTAAAGGATCACGTCGTGTCATAGGACTATTTTAGGTATAGGTGGAGTCCGGTGTTCTGAATCATCCGCTGGGTTCTCAGAGGAATCCGCCAACAAGAGAAATTCGACTTAAAGAGGTTTCTAAACCCTCCGTTTTGTTTTTTTTTGCATATATCTACTACTAGCAAGCAGTAGATATATGCAAAAAGTTTTTAAAAAGAAACAAAAACTCACCCCGTGCCTTCGCCGCGCGCTCCCGTCCAAAAATCCGAAACTGCTCGGCCGGCCGCAAAGCATCTTGGGGCGGGCGCATGCGCAGTTCGGATTTTCGGCCGGGAGACGAGGAGAGACGCAAGGTAAGTCTATGGACGGCGTGCACCCGCATGCAGACACCGTGGGACAGGAAGTGCCAGCAAGCAGAGAGGAGTCAGCGCTGGATCGGAGAGCCGCCGCACAGCTGGAGGGCAGGGCCAGTGCTAGGATTCTTGTCTACACAGGCAAGGTGCATTTTTGCGCACCCCCCCCCTCCCCGACCCCCGGTAAAAACAGGCCGTTTTGACAAGTACTTGTACTTGTCAAAATGCCCCGATGTTTGCGCTATGTTTTTTTGTTTTTTTCACTTACCTTCGGCGCGAGAGAGCAGCGGCGAGTCAGCGCTGGTCCGGTGGGAGGAGCTCCATGTGGGGTCCTAATTTAGTTGGCCGGCGACTGCCTGAGGTGCCGCGCGTGTCGGGATCCTCTGGCATCATGGGGGGGAGGGGAGAAAAAAATTGACTTTAATGTCACTGGGAGAACGGCGTCTGTATTCCTCCACGCCGTCCAAGATGGAAGAGACGGAGGGAGGAGGAATTTGTCCGGAAGACTTCACACTTCCACCAATAAAGGAAGAAATAAACCATCAATGTCAGGACCGATCATTGACAGGAAACACTTTTCATGTCACCACATCTGAAACAATTACAATGTAACAATCAACACAAACGTGGCCACATGTCCACAGCAACAGCCTTCCGTCCCAAACTGGAAACAATCATCGCTACCGGCAACCACATGACGTTATAACCCGGGAAATTAGTAAAATGACCATTTACAGGGTGACGTCTAATAGAATAGAATAAAGAAGAACCCCGGGCAGATATAAAAGGACAACAATGAATGCGGCTCTGTATGATTAAAGTGCATGGCATCCCTGAAACGTTGGATACTACCGCGTTTCCCCGAAAATAGGACACTGTCTTATATTTTTTGGGGGCTCAAAAAAACACACTGGGTCTTATTTTCGGGGTAGGTCTTATTTCTTTTTTTTAATGTACAACAATCCACAACTAATCATGTAGAAAAGTCTTCCTGTATTCATGTACAAAAATATGGTGATCAGGGCAATCGGATGCCGCACCTTTCCAAGAGCAATTTGCTAACCAATCGCTGGCCAGAATGAGCGAAGCGCGCTTTCACTATGGATTCCTCACAGGTGGAGTGCATTTGGTATCACTCCGCCTGTGACAGGAGGCGGGGCTATAGAGGAGGCATCGGCTTATGCGGCTCTGCTCCCTCCGGTGCCGTCTCGCTTCCTCTAGTGGCGGCTTCGCTGGCACTGCTGATTCTCTCGCGCGGCTCTTCAAGTTCCCCCTTATGCCACCACCGGCCCTGGGAATGGTCACAACTAGGTCTTGTTTTCGGGGTAGGTCTTGTTTTCGGGGTAGGTCTTATTTTCGGGGGAAACAGGGTAAATCGCTTAATCCCTTTTTAATCCCCGAGCAATGTCAGCAATTCCCTTCCTGTTTGGCCACACTAGACACAGAAGCAGATCTGTCCATGTGTGGTCAGCTTGTGTCTCGTCTTCTGACACAGCAGATAAAGGACATCATGGTGACACATAGTTTACCCGTACTCCAGAAGTCAGAATGCAGTTGCCATACAAAACCCCACCCCCTCCCCCCCCCTCCACAGTGACAGCGGCTTCTGGCAGGGATCGGCAAGGGATGTCAATCATCTCTACAACCGGAATGAGGTTTCAAATTAGATAGAAGTCCTCTTGATCTGTGACGTCGGCAGAGACTGCTGAGCGGCTTCTGCATCTTCCGCCACCCCCCAGCCCGCCGAGCTGCGACAGAGGAGTCGCACCATGTGACCGCAGAATTAACGGAACAACAGGTAAATATGTTTTTTTTACCTGGTATCAGCCTCTTGTACAGCAGAGGTCAGACTGTGCAAACATAGGAGTATACTGATAGCAGGAGGGTGCAGATCCACATAGAGATGATCTCATCATTCTGCTGCTTCTCGTTTCACTGTCCAATCACAGTCCGGGGGAGGTACAAGACCTGTAAGTATTATTGGACTGCAGCCACAAATAATCAGGTCTCCTGTCCTGATAGACAGGGTTGTGCGATGTGGCAGAGCTGTGTAAACCTCAGTATTGGATGGACAGAAATGCAAACCCTTTGGCAGATAAACAGCTCTCTTAAAAGGAGAACTATGAGGTTAGTGTTTTCCCCCATAGTTCTCCTTAGGGTAACAGGAGGACACAAACTAGCGTCCTCCAGTCACCCTAGGCTCAGTATATAGGGAGCTACAGCTCGCGGTATATTGAGACGCCGCAGCCGGGACGGATCCCAACATTACTGTCTGGATCCACCCAGCTGCTTGAGTGACGGCTGGCTCTGCCTATCTAGAGGCAGAGCCAGCTGTACCCGACCCTCCCCCGTCCGTTCCGCCAGTCAGCGCTGGCGGATCGGAGCGGTGAGGAATCCCTGCAGGGAGCCATGAGTGACAGTCACGGCTCTCTGCAGGAAGATGATCGAGAAGTGAGCGAGCGACGTTATGCGTCCGCTCACTTCCCGATCTATAGAGCCGACGTGTGACAGTTTCATTGTCACATATCGGCTCGAACTAAGAGGATGAGTGGAAATCACTCACCTCATAGTTCTCCTTTAATATGCATTTAGCGGTCTGCATGGAAATATATGGCCTCCTGCGCATGCTAGCTGCCCGGCTGTAACTAAAGCCTCCGTCATCCCTAAACATTCCCTGTAACTGCCCTCGCCTGGGCAGCTCAAAGCTGTACTGATATCAGTTCTGGGTGGAGTGGACCTTTAAAGGAGAACTATAGGGGGGGGGGCTTTTCACTCACCTCATAGTTCTAGCCGACCTGTGACAATGAGAATTTTATGAAAAGAGACTCTGCCACTGGAAAAAAAAAACAAACATTGAAAAAAATAGAATGAATACCCGTAGCATACTTATTGTTGTGTACTCACCCCTCTGTGCGGTACATGCTGCACCTCTCCAGGGGGACTTTCAGCACGCCGTGATTTAAGCCGACGAACAGGGAGCGGTTGCTGTGCAGGATCTGCAGGTTGAGGATCGGCTCCTGCTGCCCGTTGGGTAATATGTGCATCTCCTCCAGATAGCAGCTGCGCAGGCTGCGGTTGGCGGTGGACAAGGCTTTCAGGATGGTGCCGTGCTCTGCGGGGGGAGGGGGGGGGATACAAAATGTTAGCGCGCTCGTCAGCAGAGAGACTCCGCGACTCATCACAGTGATACCCCAATATGTTCAATATTTATATTCAGTCTGACACGCGCGTAAAGAGTACCTGTGCCGATGTACATGACGTGGTACAGGGTGTCTTTGCCTTGAACGATGTCCACCACCAGTTTGGAGAACCGCACATTGTCCTGCGTCACCAGGGGGTCCACCGACACCGGCTGCACCACGTCGTTCATGAGGAAAAGGCGCTGGGCGTCCTGCAGGCTGCGCTCCGTCAGGTTCTCGTTGGGGCTGTCATCGTTCAGGATCCCGCACTGCCAATCAGAGAGGGCATAGTCATTTACAGACAAAGGGTGGCTTAGTGGGCAAAGGTCATGAAAAGGGTGGTTAGAAATGGGACTGCACACTGGGGAAAAGTGATGAACGGTCAGCAGGGGTGGGTAAAGTTACTCTGGTGTGACAGAGTTACATGGTGTGTAAAAGTGAATGGGTGATATGACAGACAGTGGCATGGTGGGTAAAAGTGAACAGAGTTATATGACAAAGAGTGACATGGTGGTTAAAGGTGAATGGGGTGGTTGACAGACAGTGACACAATGGGTAAAGGTGAATGGAGTTGTATGACAGAGTTACATGGTGGGTAAAAGTGAATGGGGTGGTATGACAGACAGTGGCATGGTGGGTAAAGGTGAACAGAGTTATATGACAAAGAGTGACATGGTGGTTAAAGGTGAATGGGGTGGTTGACAGTGAACAATTGGTAAAGGTGAATGGGGTGGTATGACAGAGTTACATGGTGGGTAAAAGTGAATGGGGTGATATGACAGACAGTGGCATGGTGGGTAAAAGTGAACAGAGTTATATGACAAAGAGTGACATGGTGGTTAAAGGTGAATGCGGTGGTTGACAGGCAGTGACACAATGGGTAAAGGTGAATGGGGTGGTATGACAGATGCAGGCGCAGTCTATACCAGAAGAAGATTCCGGAGTAACAGGGAACCTCACCGGCCCTCTCTGAGCCTCACCTGAAAGTTGGGCATGGGGTTGAGTGTGGGCAGCCAGGCGGAGCGCGGGTTCTCCTGGAATCGGAAGGGACCGTTGAAGGCCTGTGTGATCGCGCTGAGGTTGAAGGCACAAACCGCCGAGGCAGCGATGCTATTTCTGGAAGGAGAGACAATAAGACGATCATTACACGGGAACATTCTGCAAGTGTGATAATTAATTATGAGGACATGATACGGACAGAACGCTGGAAGAGTCCTCGTCGTCCAAACGTGCCGGGCGGACAAAGCATGCAGGAAATGTAGATCGGCAGGAACGCTCCTCTACAATGGGGAAGGATGACAAACGCCTTCCAGGACTAGACTCAGCACAGATTGTCATTATATAGGTCACATTTCTTCCGCCGATACACTGTATTCACTCAGGGCATGCAGAGTGCC